GGGGGGGGGGGAAGGAAGAGCACAGACCGTTGTAGGTTGTACCTCCTCCCTCTACGATAGCCACGATATTGCGGGCATAAAGAAGAACGAATCCCAACAGCCAGAGTGTTGATGGCTTCTTGACGACACTAGAACGGTGGTGGCAACAGACGGTAGCAACAACTGAAGACGTTCGATGGAGCCTGTAAGGCCCTATCGGGTGCCAAGGGTACGCCAGCGCCATTCTGCGATAAGCCTCCAGCGAGGACGGCAGCGACAGCTTGAATTTTCACGCCCAACAGAATCAAAAAGGAACAGCAGCATGCTTTCGGGGTATTCCATGTTGAGACTATCAAGGAATAACAGCCACACACTATTGACAATGGCAAACATACACGACAACAGCAACAGCAACAGCAACAGCGACGTCTTTGCGCATCTCCGCCCCCCGAACCAGGTCGCTGCTCCACGTGCTAGATGAGCTGCACGACAGGGCCCTTCTTAGCTTCCTGCTGTCGAGGCTAGAGCACTACGTACCTCTGCTGGTGCCGTTCCCCGGCGTCGCGAGGGGTTTCCTAAAGACTTTGCTTGGACTGTGGGGGGGCGCGGGGGCAGAGGCCAAGAGTTCCGGAGGGGGCACGGAGCAAGAGGGCGAGGAAGCCGAGAGGGTAAGCTACAAGGGGCAGTGGTGACCCCACGCGTGAGGTCGTTGCGACACAGCGCATTACAAGGATTTGTTTTTTGTGGAACGTTCCAGCCAAGGCTTACTCTTGAAGGTTCGAAGTCGGATCTTGGTGTCGAGCACAAGTGCAGAGCACGCGCGCTACAGTACAGCACTCAAAAACCTCATGTCGGGCACCGGGCTCGCCAAACATGTTGTTCCATTCTAGGTTATTGTGTATGGCTGGCTCTTTGTCCGCAATCACAATTTCAAGCTCTGTTCGATTTTCTGTGGTGTACCGCACGCAGCAAATGATTCTATTCCACATGTCGTAGTCCGGGTTAGCAATGAATAGCGTTGTTGCTAGCCAACCTGTGTCTCTGCGATTCCCGGATAAACACACCGCGATGTCTCCCGTGCGGGTATCAGGCCCAACTATCCAGCTCGAGTTCTTTTCTTTTTTTTTTCAGTAGCTCAAGTTCTCAGCGGCCGAACAAGTTCCCAAGGCGTGGTGCGTCCGTGATACAAAAAGACAAGATACCGAGGTATACCATCGGTTTTGTTGTAGTCTAGATAGACACCCGATATTAGGCGGTATGCTTGTGGACAACGTCGCGTCCATCCTGGTTTTGGTTCTGCCAACCAGCGCCAAGCTTTGAGAGGGTATATGCATGCTGGAGTATTTGACGGTGATGGTGGTTGCCTCTATTTAGAGTATTGTGGGAGCGAGCGATTCTGCTCTGCTAGAAGGGGGTGCTGCGGAATGAACGTGCGAGTGACTTATGCAATATGTATCTAACGCACTAGCACCCTCCCCCCCCCCCCCCCCCCCCCCCCCCCCCCCCCCCCCCCCCCCCCCCCC